TTCTACCGGCAGATAAAGGAAGAACCACAGTAGTTATGGAAAAAGAAAAATATAAACAACAGATGAAACAGATGCTAGAAGACAAAAATACATATGAAATACTTAAAAAAGATCCAACAGAAAACATTAAGAAAAACATGAAAAAATTACTGAAGCCACTGCACGAAAAAGGCAAAATAACAGAAAAAATGTACAAACACTGGATTCCCACAGCAAACATAACACCAAGAATATATGGAACACCAAAAATACATAAACAAAACACCCCACTTAGACCAATAGTTGACAGCATAGGTACACCAACATACAACATGGCAAAAGATATCAGCAGAATCATCAGCCCGTTATTAGGAAATACAGACCAACACTGCAAAAATAGTATAGAACTGGCAAAAGAACTAAAGGAGATTACAATAGAAGACAACGACATACTCATCTCACATGACGTCACATCCCTGTTCACAAAAACCCAACAAACCATAGACATAGTAGTTAACAGAATCAGACAAGACAAGACTTTACACAAAAGGACAAACCTCACAGCAGATGACATAGCACAACTGATAGGACTGGTAGCTAACTCCACTTACTTCACATACGACAACACAATATACAAACAACTGGAAGGCTTCGCCATGGGTAACCCGTTATCAGCCACCCTGTGCCAGTTTTTCATGGAAGACCTGGAGCAGAAAGCCATAGCCACCGCCCCCCCAAACTGCAAAATAAAACTATGGAAACGCTACGTAGACGACATACTGGAAATCATACCAAAAGGACAAACAGAAACACTAACACAACACTTAAACAATATTGACGACACGGGCAACATAAAATTCACTTATGAGTCAGAAACAGAAGGCAGTATAGCATTTATGGATATGAAAATCACCAGGCAGACCGACGGGACCCTAAACATAAACACATACAGGAAACCAACACACACAGACCAATATCTATTATGGACATCAGAACACCCCACCATACACAACATGTCAGTAATCAGAACATTATGTCACCGAGCAAACATGGTAACAGAAGAGAGAGACCGTAAACAAGAGGACAAACACATACAACACGCTTTAAAGACCTGCGCATACCCGACATGGGCAATAAACAAAGGAAAACAACAAACAAAAACAGAAAGCAAAGAACAACCCAAAAAAAGAACCAGAAACCCCGAAAGACAAGAACCAAAACCAGTGATAACCCTACCATACATCAGGGGCATAACGGAAAAAATAAGAGCAACAATGAAAAAACACAACATAAACACACCAACAAAGCCATACACAACAGTTAGAAACAGACTAGTACACCCAAAAGACAAAATACCAGCTGGACAAAAATGTGGAGTCATCTACGAAATCCCATGCAAACTCTGCAATAAAACATACATAGGAGAAACCGGACGCCAACTCAACACACGGACAATAGAACACAGAAAGGAGTGTGAGAAAGAGGCAAATCGCAAACACACAAGAGCAGCAAAAGAAGAAGCAGAAAGTACAATAAAAAAGTCAGCCGTAACAGATCATTGCTTAAGAGAAAACCATATAATGGACTGGGACAACACATGGATCATAACCACCGAACAACAAAAATACAAAAGATGGATCAAGGAAGCAATCGAGATAAGGAGACGTGGATGTGGGACTATGAACAGGGACGACGGAGTTTACACGCTGGACCACGCATGGGACTGCATCGTCGGAGAGGGGAGAGCGGGCAGTAGAGGGCGACAACGTCCTCTGCTGCCCGCAGATAAACGGAGAAGGAAGTGACGCGCCACCATCAGCGTCAGCCTGAAGAAGCCGGCAGCCGTCGGCAAAACTGTAGCTACAAACAGGTAAACAAAACTGTTTCTGTGTTTAAAAAGAACGAAAGCATGGAGCATCAGACACAATCTGTTGTGTCTACAAACCCTGGCGGAGACCCCAGCAGATCCGGACTGTCAGAAGTCGGGTGGTCCTCACGGCACCGGGATTTCGTAGATTAGCTCCGGTACAACTTGTCCAGTCTTGGCATGTCTCCAGGTCACAACAGTAGCTGGATTGCTTGTCTGCGTCCAAAGTGGGTGTGGCTCTCAGGGAGCCGTCAGGCTGTGTCAGCTTGCAGCGTGCCAACAGGTTAACTGTATGCCAAAAGAGATGTTTCAAGCATGCTTGTTCCGAGTTGGCCGGTTCGGGACTCTACTCAAAACGTAATCACTCGGGAAGGAATTCCTGTTTTAATAAACCACAATGTTATGATTTCTGGGTATTCTGGCAAATCAGAATGTGCCATGTCTGGAAGGCTTTACCAAAACATCCCTCAGAAAGCCGCTCCTTCCTTCAGATACAAGCTTCTTAATTTTGTGAATAAAGAATGGTTAAACGTTATGAGAGGTGAACCTTAACCTTAATTTGTATCTTATGAAGATGTGAGAGTGTAGATAATGATTAACTTGTTAAACCAAACACATACTGATCATAAGATCTGCAATGGATCATTGTAAGAACAACGTTCATTTCAACTTCATTAATTTAAGCACAGATCTTGTTCGTTCATCACATATGATTATTTAACTTATGAGTTGTAAAAGTTCACTTTTATTCAGAGTGAGGAATCCAGCAGTCTGAGATGGGGGAGGAAAGGGATTTCGCGGGAGACCTTGGCAGTTTGTTTATGTCTGCATTGAAGAACAATAAGTGAGCAAAAGGTTGATGTGCGTCTGGATCCTCCAGCTGGTGTAACCTTGACTTTGCAGTTCCGGCGTGCACGAAAGGTTACTGATGTCAATTCGATGGGGAAAATTGACCCTTTTGATTCATTACACCCCTTGGTCCCATTTCAGAAAAGTTGGAGCTTCTACAAGTTCTGTTTAATGTAGAAAGTTGTAAAACATTAAAACAATCCTAAACTTCCAATAATATTTGAGATGGTAATAATAGCATCTTCTTAGACTTCTACAACCCCCCAAGGTGCTTCACAACACAATCAGTCACTCATACATTCACATGCTGGTCATGATGAGCTACGATGTAGCCACAGCTGCCCCGGGGTGCACTGACAGAAGTGAGGCTGCTGGCACCACTGGTCCCTCCGACCACCAGCAGCAGGATCTAACCTGCAACCCTCTGATGATTACTGGACACCCTGCTCCACATCCAGAGCTGCTGCTGAGACGTCCTTTATTCTTGTTGATAATAATAAACCAGCAGGAGGCTGTGGGCTGGACTTGGATTAAATCATGGATCTCCTTCACTAAGCAGATAACTACACACCTTCCACTAACCTGTCCTGTGGGACTTTTATTATCTCCTCATGTTCCTGGTGTCTCCGGAGGAGCAGACGGGAAACATCTCCTTAACATGAACCCAACTTCCTCCCAGTTTTTTTTCATCAGTTTATCATCATGAAACAAAAGAGTGGAACAAGAACTTCTATACTCTATTTCTCTTTAGCTCACTCTCCCCTCCTCCCCATCCTCTGGATGAAAGAGACAGATGACTAGGTCACTTGGCCCCGCCCCTCCCCTCAGTCTGGATGGGAATGGTCTCTTTGGTACAAAAGTTATAGATACGAGGGATGCACCGATCAGGTTTTTTGTTGCCGATCACCGATACCGATCACGTGGATTGGCCAGAAATTATCTACAACATTATAATGAGTGCTACAAACTACATAATCTGGGAATAAAGGAAATGTAACCTAATCTAAAATGGTGTGTATTAGGGTTGTCACGGTGTGAAAATGTAACCTCACGGTTATTGTGACCAAAATTATCACGGTTTTCGGTATTATCGCTGTATTTTTTTAAACATGTTACATTTTCAGACAACTACATAAACCCTGTATGTCAGGAAATATTGTCCTCAGTTTGTGTCTAAATGTTGCCTAAAATGTGTTATTTTGTAATTATGTTGTTTATTTGTTTACATTTTCCCCTTTAGTCTTTAAAATACCAATATTTGCCCATAACTTCTTATTTTATGTCTGTTTGATGTCATCATTTAAAAATATTAGTTCAGATGATACTCAGTACTCAAGTAGCCTTCTAATCAGATACTTTTTTACCCTTACTTGAGCAATCTGTATATCAGGAAAATATCGTCCTCGGTTTGTGTCCTTCCAGTGAGCTTTACAGATGTGGGAAAATGTCATCAGGCAGTAATCGTTGTTAAATTCATAATTATTCTCGGAGAGAGACCAACTCTTATCTGCCCCTGGGAGCCCCGTAATGCATAGCGTCATTTCAACATGGCGGTGTCCGCGACACGGTTTATATGCAGGTAGCGGCGCTGCGGCTGCTTTATATAGCGACTCGTTGCGTTCTCCCTCAACCCAAATCCTCGGATCACGCATTTTAGCTAAAACGCTAACGTTAGCTTGCCTTGCGTTGACTGTAGAGTTGTGGGTGATGGTCACGCAGATGTGTCATGAGATTTGAAGCGTTGCTGCCTTTCACAGACACTTTTTCTGCTCGTGCTGCAAACAGGATAGCCGTCTTCTGTCAGCTGTCCCTCGGCATTCTTCAGATATCCAAAAGATGCCCGTACTTCCCACTTTGTCTTCTTTGAGGGATAATAAATGTCCTGAGCGCTGCCGTCTCCTCCTTTGGCCATTATTTCAGCTTTAGCTTCAAGAAAGTTTTGGTTGTAAACAACAAAGTGCACATGTGCCGCCGGCAACTTCAGCAGATGATACGGTGGCTGGTAAGGGTCACTGCGCCTACACCGCAGCCACGGTAACCCACCGAGATAATATAGTTTTTTTTAAAAACAAGACGGTTATTATTATTGTTAACTTTTTTTTTAACCGGGGTTTACCGCTACACTGGTTACCGTGACAACCCTACCTGATCGGTCTGCTTTCATCTATTTTGAAAACTCCGATCAAAACCGATAGGGGCGCTATCGGCCGATTGGGATCAAATGCCGATCCATCGGTGCATCCCTAAAAGTTACTCCACAAACACACACATTCAGGAAAATAAATGGTCAAAAAACCATCCAGTATGATTGTGGAAGAAGATTTATTTCCCAGAAACATGAAAAGTACACGAGGTAATTTAGCACCTTTACATCCCGACTCAGATCAAATGAATCAAATCAGCCCTTAAGATTTCCTGTCTTCTTATTCACACTCCTTCAATCAACATATCTGCAGTGGTCTAGTGAACGCCTGGAGTCGAACTCTCGGGGGGGGGGGCTCTACTAGCTGAGACGTTCCTTACGGTTTCCTGAACGCCAAAGCAACAACAGCCTTTCCCGTCGTGAGTCCAGGTGGGTGAGTCCATGAATGTTAGTGACAGGGTGACGTAGGTCTGTCAGGCTTTTCTAATCCTAGAGTTTCACCGTCTGTTTTCTATCAGAAGCTAAAGCAGGAGATAGGTGTAGGAGACTATTTCATGTTCAGCCTGCATGAAACACTCAGAGTGACCCGTTAGAATCAGAAATAATCATAAAAATTGGTTTTCAGTGAACCTCACCTTTTAAAAAAAGCTAAAAATGCTAAAACAACCAAACCAGTGGTGTTTGTAGGCAGTCCTGCTCTCGTGGCTGATATGCTAATGAAGGTCAGAGGCCAGAGTGAGCGCACGTGCTCCTTCTGAAGGAGTAGTGATGTAGAAGGTTGGAGCTCCTCGGTACTTCTCCTGTGGAACCAAAAGAAACATCATGAGAAGATGAATAACAGTGGAACATAATCATCCACAGTGGCTCTCATCAGGAGGAAGTCTCGAAGCAGAAGGGTTTGTTTTTAGAATGACACGTGTGTCCTACTCAGCCCAGACGCACGGTACTGCTGCTTCCTCCAGACCGAACCACGGCTTATCCGGACAAGCAGCAGGCACATGTTTAAACCATGCTTGGGTCATGGGACCAGTGATGCAGTGTCAGCACAGCTATAGTTAGTTAAATCACTGATAGTGTTCTGTAACAGGATACGTCTCTGTTTCTAATGCCCTCATAAGGTGTAGGAGTATATTTTCTTTATGAAATATTTGTTATTAAGTGTGACAATCACACAAAACTATGACAACTACTGTCCAGAAGTGTCTACTAATATCTATTTAATCATTTGCCTTTTAATTTTTCTGTTGTTTTTGCATTGTTCATTCATCAAGTGTGGCTGAAAAGAGGCAAACAAAAGTAAAACGTGAATACAATGATATCTGGGGTACAACATCAAAAAGGAGCATAACGGATAAGAAAAGTGAACCAGTTAACGGGTAAAAAAGACATTAAAAATGTTGATGAATAAATAAAAACCATGATCAAAAACATGAAGAAAGACAGTGGGAAAAATAAAAAAATAATTGTGTTCACACCCTTAAATTAATATCCTCATAATAAGCAAGCATGCAGCGACAGTAGAGAGGAAAACTCCCTTTTAACAGGAAGAAACCTCCAGAGGATCCTGGCTCTGTATAAAGGTTGGTTTATGCTTGACGCGTCCGCGAGGTCCGCACGGCTCCGCGCGGAAAAGTTGCGTCATTTAAACAACCACGCCCCTCCACCGCGCCTCCGCACGGCCCAGAATTTCTGCAACGAGCACCTCGAAAAATTTCTAACCACGTGGACGGTCGGACGTGGAAAAACATGGCGGACCGGCAAGAACTAGTATGGCAGAGGTTGGTAAATACAGACATTTGTATGATTCAGCTCTCAGAGATCACCGTGATCAACATGTTGTTAATAATTCTTGGAGAGAAATAGCTCGCACTGTCGGAAAAGACGAGGACGCTGTTAAAAACGCTGGAATGCCATGTTGTAAACAGTAATTTCTACTTCTACTATGGTGTAGTGTTGGGTGCATGCCGTAGAGCTCCATGCTGCCCCCTACAGTTTGGGAGAATATTGGCTCACCGCAGAGACGAGCCGCATGAACCATAAACGCTGCGAGTTGTGAAGCGCGTTCCATCCGCGAGCCGCTTCACCAAGCGGAAAGTGAATGCGTCAAGCATAAACCAAGCTTTAGCTGCCATCCAACACGACTCACTGGGGATGGAGAAGACAGAGCACACACACACACACACAAACACATGCAAGATGGCGCCCATGAGTGGTTGTGCGTTTGCTAGGCTCCTGATCTTTTATCTGTTTTTATCGGTTTGAAGTATTTGCCCTCTCTTTTCTCTTTCTCTCTTTTGCTTTTTTATAAAGCGCCAAATCACGACAAGAGTCGTCTCAAGGCACTTCACATAATAAACATTCCAGTTCAGGTCAGTTCATTAAGCCAATCAGAAATAATGTTTCCTATATAAGGAACCCAGCAAATTGCATTGAGTCACTGACTAGTGTCAGTGACTTTACAGCAATCCTCATACTAAGCAAGCATGCAGCGACAGTGGAGAGGAAAACTCCCTTTTAACAGGAAGAAACCTCCAGAGAATCCTGGCTCAGTATAAGCAGCCATCCTCCACGACTCACTGGGGATCAAGAAGACAGAGCAGACACACACACACACACACACACACACACACACACACACACACACACACACACACACACACACACACACACACACACACACACACACACACACACACACACACACACACACGCTCCATCTGGCGGGTGTGGTTGTTACTATGTCAGCCGTCAACACACTGCTGAGCAGCTGAAATCTCCATTTGTGGGCTTCAAAGTCAGCAAATCGCTGAGTAAAGGAGAGTTTTCAGAAGGGTAGTGGATACAGTGCGGCCTAGTGGCGAAATATGGTCACAATGCATTATGGGAAATTTACTTTATATACACTTTGAAGCAGCATAGCTCTATTTGAAGACACTTTAAGCTCCCACAGGTCACACCTGGCCCACGGGCCATTAGCTTGACACGTGTTTTAGATCATGAACGTAGCCGATTTATTTAATTCAGTGATGAATTGCTTCTGTAGACACAAAAGAAGGCTGTTAGATCAAGGTGTTAAAAAGACCAGAGGAGATAGGTTTCACTTTCAGTTCCGCAAATGGGCACTAGGGGGTGCTAAACGTGTTTAAAGAGCAAGTCACTCCAAAATCAACAGTTTTGCTGATAACCTGTACAAATGTCTAGTAGTGTTGTAGACATGTGTGACAGGGTGAGAGTCGCTGCATCCTGACTGATCATACGCCCTGGCTACTTGGCTGACTGGTTAGCACGCATGACTCTCACCCGGGAGTCTGGGGATCGGATCCCCCCTGGACCCTTGTTCTCCACCTTGCCACATATGTGTAGTCATTGCTTTTGCATTTTGGCACATTTTCTTTCAAAACTCTAAATTCGAACTAAAACGTCCAAGTACACCTGGCTGCAGCACGCAGAAAGGGGCGGTCAGTTGTCAGACCCATGTGAACTACGGCCTTGACTAGTTTACTATTGTTAATACTCTGTTCTATGTTCAAATTAAGCAAAATAAATATAATTTACAGCACGACAAGGTCTGAATTTATATCCCAAAATGGAAAGGTTCCTTTCAGCGAATCTGGTCGTTTTATTTTGTATAATCTATGGTAGTACAGTGGTATTATTGTTTTGACTTTTGTTTCGTTTCACTCTCTGCTGACGCTAGTTCCACTCTAGGTGGTGTCGGGTGTGACATATTTAGCAGCTGAAACAGAATAAATGTATTTATACTTTAGTTTTTTTTTGATTATTTTCTGCAAAATATTTTATTTCTCTAAAGAACTTTGAATGTAGTCGTTTCTAAGCAGCATTTTAGTTGATACTCTGCTCACACATGGACTCACACTGGCTAAATAAACAAAGAAAGTAAAGAACAGACAGATTAGTCCTTATATTTAAACAGTTTACCAATAAAGGGTTGAATACATAATACTGGCAAGTTTTGCTAAAAAAGAAAAAAAGTTGATGCCGCGACGAAGGAGGCAAACCTGCGCAAAACTACACTCCAGTCTAACACTGTAACCTATACACCACTGAATCTAATACAATATACAGAATATGGTGCCTAGTACACATACCGCTTGCCATCACGTGTATCTTTGTAGATGGGGTGCCTTACAATTTCTCTAAGGATAACGTCAGTCCTTCTTACTGTTCTGTGTAGGAGGTTCAGTTGGTTGAACATCAGTGGTTTCACTTGAGCTCTGAATCTCGGGCGGTTTTCCGCAGAGAACCTCTTCTGACTCTTGAGATGTAACTGTGGTCTCAGGTTGTTCTGGAACCATATGTGTTGCTCCATTGAGGACCTGATCAACATGGCGACGCCAGACTAAATTGGGTCCAACATAATGGTGTACGATAGCGATCCGGTCTGTGACAGAATTGTGCCCGGCTGCCATTTTGATTAGGTCCTCTGTAGTCTCTAGCAAGAACCTTTTGTCCAATATTGAAAGATCTAGTCTTTTTTCTTTTCCTTTCCATCACAGCAGCTTGTTTGTCTGTGACATCTTTGCGCATATCTGGTTTGATCAGATCCAACCGGGATCTTAGATTTTGTACCATGAAGAGTGTTGCCGGTGTGTGTCCAGGTGTCGCGTGAGTGGTGTTGTTGATTTTCTGATGTAATGCTTTCCCCTCCAGTCAGCTGGCTTTCATAGACCTCTTACAAGACTGGATGAATCGCTCAGCTTGTCAATTCAATTCAAAAAAACTTTAATCATCCCGAGGGGCAATTGTCCGTTAGTTGCCGGGTGATGGGGAGCTACTCCACCACTCGTAACGAAGTACTGAAACTCCTCTCCTGTAAATTGACGTCCATTGTCACTTACAAGCTGTTGTGGTAGACATGTGGGCAAACAGTGATCAAAGGGAGTCGATTATGCTGGTAGCAGTTGCTTGTTTGACTGGAAAGATTTCTGGCCATTTAGAGTGAGCATCAACCACAACTAGAAACATTTGGTCCATGAATGGTCCAGCATAGTCCACGTGGATGCGCTGCCATGGTGCGGATGGCCACTCCCACATGTGTGTCGGTGCTGTCTGAAGTTGGGGTAATGTCTGCTGACCACCAGTGCAGGAATTAGCCATGTTTTCTATTTCATAGTCAATGCCTAGCTACCAAACATAGCTTCTAGCAAGACTTTCATCTTAACTACACCCAAATGCCCCTCATGCAGTGAATACAGCACCTGCACGCGTACTGTGGGTGGCAGGATGACACGGGTACCCACACATGAGACTGAAAGTTGCTCCTTGCTGGTGGAGTATGCAGAGAACCGACTGTCACTGCTGGATGCCCAGTCGTTCACAGTAAAATCATAGACTTCAGTCAAAATTGTGTCACAGCTCCTTTCCCTTCTTACTTGAGCACTAGTGATAGGCAGCGGTTCCATTTGTGCAACGTGAAACACAGTTGCTGGATCAGCTGTTTCCTCCATAGTTTGTAGTTGTGGAAGGCGTGAAAGTCCATCGGCTTTTCCAGGCTACTTTGTCCCTTGAAATTCAATGGTGTAGGTGCCTATGGTCTATCTGTGCATAATTGCATTCAGCAACATTTTGAGACCAAGAGGCAAAGGCGACTGGTCGCTTCGATCCATCAGGCATTCTGTTGGATAGCACAGCACCAATGCCATATGGGATCTGTCACAGGCGAGACGAAGGGGCAGCTTTGGGTCATAGTGTGTTAGCACTTCTGATGTCATGAGCTGCTTAGTACCCTTGAATGCCTCTTCACATTCTTTCGTCCATTTCCATTTCACATTTTGTTGTA